CAGCCCGGCCAGCCCCACCCAGGCCTTTACGGCACTGGGACTGCCGTACGTCACCACGTCAGCAGTGAGGGCCTCTCGGAGCAGATCCTCGGGCACGGACTTCACGGCGCCCTGGGGTCGGAGGTTTGTAACCCGGGGGGGGGCCGGGGGGGGCCCCAACGATAGTGGACTTCTATGCTGTGAACAGGTTCTTGAGGGGATTCAGGGTCTAGCGTTGGCACATCATCCGTTGGATGCCTTGCGCTGCATCACTTACCTTTCCCCTCCCCTCCCCTCCCCTTCTCTCTCTCTCTCTCTCTCTCTCTCTCTCGCGCGCGCGCGCGCGCGCGCGCTCCACTCACACACACAGACAGACACACAGACAGACACACTCGTGGCTCAGCTAATCTGGAACACGCAGACAGAGGGCATCTCCCAGATCTTTCCTACACGCTTCCCCCCCTGGTACGTTTCCCCCTGACCTCCCTTGCAGTGCCGTACCCCTGATCACCACAATGAAAACATCACCCACCCCCCACCCACCCCCCCACCACCCACCGTCTCCCAGCCTACCGTGCTGTAAGTGTTAATTCGGTGCACCTCGAACCCCGCCGCCGCCAGGCTGTCCTGCAGGTCGGTGGAGGCCTTCACCGATGCGGGGTACAGCACCCGGCCACTGCCCCCGGGCACGCGAGGTAGCTCCGAACCCATCACCTTGCCCAGCGCCTGAAGGGGGAGCGGGGGGAACGTGCGTGCGTGTGTGTATACGCGCGCATGTGTGTGTCTGTGTGGCTGAGAGAGTGTGTGTGTATGTGTATGGACATGTGGACGAGGAAGTACCTGCAAGTGCTCTCCTCCCGCCCTCCCGCTCCATTCCCTCCGCACCCCCCGGCGGGTCACCCACCCACCTTGGACGGCACGTAGTCCGGTGTGATACCGCCCTGGCGGAGCACCTCGCCCGTGCCCCCGCCCACCACCGCCACACGGACCTGGTTGCAACGGGGGAGAACGAGGAGGGGGAGGGAGGAGGCGGGGGAGGAGGGGAAAGGGAAGTGGAACAGCGGGGAAGGAAATGGCGGTACCGGGTGACTTATGTGGGAGGCATCTAACCCAAGACAGCACCAAGACCAAGACCAACCCGAACCCATACCCCCCACCCCCACCTCCCACACACACACCATCACGCCACCGCGCGTCTCCTAAACCCAGCCGCCACCACCTCCCACTGTTCCCTTCCCACGGCTTTTCCACTCACGTTCCAAGCCCCCAGCCCTTTGGACTGCGACACATTTGCAAAACAGTCCGGGAGTCCCACACGGCGGGTTTTCACCCCACCCCACCCCACCCCACCCCGCCCCGCCTTGCCAGACAATTCCCTCCTTTCCAAGTCCCTACCCGGGGCTTCCCCGCCTGCTCCCAGCCCTCAAGGAATACGGCAGCTGCCTCGGGTGACGTCACCGCCACCCATTCGTACAGCTCCGAGGCGGTGGCCAACAGACCCGGGAGGAGCGTTCTGAGGACAGCGTAGCGTTGTGCGTATGGATATTTGTGGCGGGTGGGCCGGGTGGATGCGTGTGCGTGTGCGTGTGTGTATTTTGAAGGAAAGGAGGGGGGCAATCAAGGGTGGCATGTGCACGTGCGCTAAGAATCGGCAATGCCGACGTTCGAAGCGGTAGAGGGAAGGGATTGTGCGTGCTCTGGACGCATCATGGTAATGGAAATAAGGCAAGAAGCAGGAAGGACGAGGAGAAGGGGGCCGTGAGATGATGGGCCGCTACTTTGAAACCCAGCGGCAGCGGCAGCGGCGGTGGAGGGCAGAGGGGATCGAAAATGGTGCTTGGCGAGAAGGGGGAGGCGTGTAAGGAAAGAGAGGATCCAGATGGCGAAAAGCTTACTTGTCCGGGCCGTCCGTGTGTTCGATGAGCGGTAGCTCAACGCATCTAAAACCCTTAATCGTGAGAGCGTCACGCAGTTTGTCGTTCTTGCCGGCTTCGCGGGTCAGGAGTACCTTGGGAGCAGCCGCGCTGGCAAAGATGCCGTTGCACCGCGCACGACCTGCGAGCAACACCAGTGCTCACCGACGACAATGCCGCAAGGCGAGCTGGAGGACGTTTGGCAGATTGTAAAAGTTGCCGGCTATCACGCCTTGGATCATGGATACTCTCACCCGCGACCGGACGGCATGGTTGCGCCGAGCCCATCCGCAAGGACTGACGACACGGTTGGAATGCCATAACGTTTGGGCCTTTCTAAGGTCCACGTTATTGAATTGATTATCACGAAAGTCTGCGTGCTCTTCTGTGCGAAGCCGCTACTATGCGACGACAGGTTGACAGCTTCCAGCTGCTGCAAGCTAGGGCCAGTTCCACAGCGATTCCAGAGGAAACATACAGATCTGCGCTTACGGCAATCGGCTGAGCTGAATTGTGGAAGCTTTCAGTCGTTGGGGGCTTGGGGCGTGGAAATGAAACCTCGACAGATTTCCGTACATCGTACCATGAATACCTTGCAAAGCAGGTTGGTCAACATGTTTATCGTTATTGCATACGGTTAGGTTTCTGTACAAAATTCATTTGCTGGTTGCTCTCCAAACACTGTGACAAATTAAGTCTGTATGGAACAGTGCATTACGTGGCTTGGTGGCACAGACCGCATAAAGACAACTGGTTTATAGAAAATGTCTCTAACTCTTAGATGTCGTGGGCCTCAAGCCCAATTCACCTTATCAGGTGTGCTGACAGCTGAGGCGGGAGGAGGGGTTTGTGACAAATTGTTGAGTTGCCATACCCGTTACAGGCTGCTGCCATAATAATTTGGGGGTCTACATTGATGTAATACCTTCGGTCGGCTGCATTTTGCAGGCGTGGACCCGGGCATGTCGATCCATGCCTTCCGGAGCCTCTTATCAGAGAAGACCGGCGTGTCATCAACCTCTATGGAAATCCTGACGGGCTTCCCACCAAAGGCAATGCAGGTTAGAAACCACGTCTGCTCGTTTGCGACCGTCGGTATCATCCATGGCTTAGCATTGCTCTAGGGTATTCCCCAGACATATGCAATCGCCCATTCATTAATATGCTAGATTTATACTTATGCGCATGTGCGTAATCTAACCACCCACTTCGCCTGTCAGGTGCTATCGGACGGAACTGTCTCTAGCCTGGGAATAGCTAATGGCGACACCTTGACGGTCCGCCCGGGACCGGCCCCGGCCCCTGCACCTGCACCGGCGCCAGCCCCAGCGACGTCAGCTCCTCCTCACCCATCTGGACTTGCTCCCTCTCCCTCTCCCGCTACGGCACCCAGCACTTCAGACGTGGCAGCTAGCACCGAAGCTCCTCCCCGGGTACGCACCCCTGCACGGAACGGCAGCGGCGGAACCAATCCTCTGGCAGTGCGAAACGCTGCCCACGAGTTGCGGACACACAGTGGAATATTCCCGTGGTCCTTGTCCTGTCAAGGGGAGAGTCCACGAGATTGCGCCGCGACTGGCCCAGCAGCCCAAATCGGCTCAGCTCCATCCGTGAGCTGGATGGAGTTGCCCAACTCACGGAAGTGCCGTATCATATTATGTCATGCCATGCCGGGTTTATGAACGAGGCCGACCAGACATGATGGGGCACGTTGTGAGATAGCCTCCGGGTTACGGCTCCAGGGGGGGCTCCATTACCGTGCCGGAGCGAGCCGGAGCGGATATGGACCCCCCGTGGATCCCCCGCACCACAATGAAGGTGGTCCCGTAGTTTACCTAGTGTGTGTGTGTGTGTGCAGTCAGGACACACAAACATACACACAAACAGATACACAGACAAGCTTTTACCGGCATATTTTGTCATCGTCATCATTTATTGTTGGACATTGACTGCCGCCATGCCCGTTTTGACATCATACGTGGATGTCTCCTCGTACTCTTCCCGTACCCTTCTCGCCGCACCGGTCAGCTGTGTCCACCACGCACTCATCCGGCCCATGCCCTGCTGCAGGGCGTGGGTACGGCAACCGCTTTTGGCGGCATGCCGTACATGGACGAAGACGAGGCACTTGCCCGGGCCATAGCTGCCTCCCTGGAGGGGCAAGAAGGAGCTCCCACCGGTGCTACTGCCGCTGCCGGCAGCAGCAGCAGCAGTGGTGGCCCCGGGGGCGGCGGGCGGCCGCAGCGGCAGGTGGTGGAGGAGCGGGGCAGTGGTGTAGGCGGGAGGTCTGTGACGGACGGGCCGGTGGGGGGAGGTGAGTTGCGGCAACGGGATGCATCTCTGGGCTTAGGGTTTCCGGGGGACATGGGTTGTATGCGGTGGGAGGGGAGAAGATGAGTGTTTGGGCAGGAGGGGCAGCTTGCAAGGTGGTGGTATTTGGATCTGCCTGGTCACATGTCAGGTAGATTGGGATGCCCATGACAGGGCCCAATCCCCGGGGCCTCACCCGGGGTGGTGGAGACGTGCAGGAGTGAGGTGTGCATGGGAGTGTGAGGGAGCAGCACCACCTTGTGCCGCAGAGGTGTTGTGGGTGAGGCTGGGTGGGGAGGGGAGGGGAGGGGCGGAAACGGGTGCAGAAAGCACAGATGTGCACGTCGCAACGACACGCTGATACACACAGACCCACGCGTGGCCTCTCCCCCCGGGGGCCGCCCGCCTGGGTCTGATCGCCACCTCCTCCCCTTCAGGCCCCGCGCCCCAATCTGTGCCCGTAAGTGGCGGTGGCGGTTCTTGTGTCGTACGGCGGGTAATTGCCTCGGACAACAGCTGCTTGTTCAACGCGGTGGGGTACGTGATGGAGAGGTCCAGAAGCAGAGCGGATGAGCTCAGAAAGGTGAATGCAACCGGTTGTGGTGGCGCTCCGGTTCGGATTTGGGTTCGGGTTTGGTGGTGGTTAATGCAAATGCAATACACACAATTATTACCCGATCGCGAATATCAGTGTGAATAGCCGAATTGCGGCGGCGGTGGTGGTGGGAGAGTCGGGTGGGAAGAAGGGAAGTTGGGTTGGGCTGGTACTGGTGTCAGTGATGATGATGATGATGATGTGGAAGGGGAGGAGGCGTTCTGTTTACGTTGGTTAGTACGGTGGGCTCGAGGTTGCAGGGAGGGGGATTGAGGATTGGCGAAATGGAATAAATAAAAACCAAAGCTATTATTGGCGGAATATCTTGACTGTCTGCACAGTCTGTTGTTCATCTTCCGGTAACTGAGCCACGCTTCCTTGGGCCCTGTGTAATACTTGTAGTCGTGTTGTACACGTACTGTGCCGTATAGAACTGTACTGCACCGCCCCGTGGTCTCTCCCGTACTCAGGTGGTTGCCAGGGTGGTTGCCAACGACCCCATCACGTTCAACGACGGCTTTTTGGGCAAAGATGTACGAGAGTATTGCGAGTGGGTATTACGGGTATATGTTGGGGGAGGTCGGGGGGGGGGGGGAAACCGACACGTATGCGACCCGGACGCGGCGGCGTGGCCGCGGGTGCAAATGGTTTCGGAGCGAGGAGGGTGTTTCTTTGCATCCTCTGACGGAAAGCGCCACAAAACCCCGGTGGCGATATTAGCTCGTGCCGCCGCAGTTAGTGGTGGTGGGTGATTGGAAATGCGGGTTGAAACTGTAGGAATGGTATGTATGTATGTATGTAAGGACCCAGGGACGTCTGGATACGGGGTTAGACCCGGAGGGGATGGGGGTGGGGGTGGGGGGAAGAGCCCGCGTGGGGGGTTGAGCTGTGTTGTGTCATCCGCGGGCTGTTAGAGCGCGGTGGTGGGGGGGAAGCAGGGGCGGCCACATCCGCACAGTACCCATGTCCCCCTCTCGACCCCCAGTTGAGGTAGCTCTCGCTCTCATTTTTCCTTGTGACTCTCCCCCCTCTCCCCCTTTCCGTGGTTCGTCTTAGCCCCCTCTCCCCCTTTTCCTATGCAAATACTACATCTTCCCGCAACCCAGATGGATTCAGCAGAAGGACAAGTGGGGCGGAGCCATAGAGCTCTTCATCCTGTCGCAGTACTACGGCAAGGAGATTGCGGCATTTGACATACAGACAAAGAGATGTGACGTGTACGGACAGGACAAGGGTGAGTGTACGGCATACGGTTTGTTGTCTGCCGTGGCTATCCCTCTGTTCCCCTTCCCTGCCGCTGCTGCCCTCTCCCCCACCCCACTCCACTGGGGGGGAGGGGGGTTCCCCCTTAAAGGTCAGTCCATCGTTCCCGCTCTCCCTCCATCAAGCTTCCTCCTCGCGCCTCCTTGGAATGCGCGTACATACATACATACATACGCACACACGCCTTTCCTCAGGCTATTCTGATCGCGCCCTGCTGATCTACGACGGCCTTCACTACGACGCGCTGGCGGTGGCGGCCTTCGATGCCGCCCCCGAGGAGCTGGATGTGACCATGTTCTCTCGGGGGGGAAGGGAGGGGGCGGCCATCATGCAGGCGGCGGAGAAACTGGTGCGTGTGTGTACGTGTGTGTGTGTGTTTGAAGGAACTGACCTGCGAATAGGAAATGGAGGAGAGATGGGGCGCACGTGGGAGCAAATTAAAGGTAGGAGGTATTCCAGCGGTGGATGCGCTTCCCTAACTCCCCCTCGGGACTCAGGCCGTTGCGTGTTGTGGCTTTGAGCGTCGGCAGTAGTTCATGTGAGGCGTTGCACGCACGTATGTATGTACGTACGTAATCCTAACCCCTCCCCTTCTCCCCTCAGGTGGCAGCCACACACGCGGTACGGCAGTTTACGGACACCGCCAACTTTACATTGAGATGCGGCGTGTGCCAAATTGGTCTCAAGGTGTGTCTGGACGCGTAGGAGAGCTTGGTGTGTGTGTGTATGTGTGTATGGGGGGGGGATGGGGAGCTCTGTGAGCGACCCTGTCAGCGAGGGTAGGTAGCGGTGGGGGTAGGGGTGCGGGTTTTGCGAAGGAGACGGAAGGGGAGAACCCCCCTGTAGCTGAAGTGTTCCACTTGCGCCCATGACTTCCCGCTCCTGCCCTACCATCTCTCCCTCCGTGGGTATGTGTGTGCGTGCTTCCATGGTTCCACATGGCCCCCCCCCACACACACCACCACCACCACCACCACCACCACCACCACCACCAACCTCAGGGTGAGAAGGAGGCAGTGGAGCACGCCAAGGCCACGGGGCACACGAACTTCGCGGAGTACTGAGATGTGGACATCTGAATGGGCAGCAGCAGCAGCTGCTGCTGCTGATGTTGATGTTGATGATGGGAATGGTGACGATGGTGATGGTGATGGTGATGGTGATAATGAATGAACTGCTTGCTGGGGCGATATGAGAGTTGGGGGCATCCGGGTGTGGTTTATTGCAAGGTGTGACCCTTACGAAAAGTTAAATCACTTTGCTTTTAGTGTTGTTGACACGTTTTTATTAAGGTCTATTGCTAAAATGTATGGTGGACTTACAAATGGCTGCACAAAAGATGAGTCGGAGGTGCTAATGATATATCAGAACCTTTGTCTATCGTAAACTATAACCTCCAAGGTAACCTTGAAGATTTTACTTAAGAGTTTTTGGCGTGTCGGAATAAAGTCAACTTTTGTGGTATGGCCTGAATGTTTGACAATTTTGGCCTAAAACCTCCACAACAAACTCAAGGTAGCACTTTAGCATATTACGGTACAGGCCCCGGGCCATGTAGAGTACTTCCCTTCCATATATGGCGGAACTAATGCTAGGGGATGTATCAGATCCTTTAATTTGAGATATATTTTGCTGAATCCTCGTACTTCGAGCTTATGCTTACCGTAGGCGGCGTATCGATTGTTGATATGCGTTACAAATTTATGCCTCTTACAAATTATGTTTCAAAAAATTCTTCGCTGCACGTATGACGGACCAAGGTCCACAGATAGCACAGAATATATACTTATAGACTCGTATGCATAAGGAATGCAGCTTCAGAGCTTGCAAGATCTAGTGAAATGCTTAATGGAACCTCTGTACACCTATAACTTGCATTCTCCATGCACGCGTGGATGCAGACATACGGTTGAAAGGCGCCCTTAAACAAGTCAACTCAGCTGACTCAGTACTTTCGCGAGTTCTCAGTGTCAGAGGGTACTGACAGGTTTCCGCTTCGGCTTCTGCCCTAATCTACAGCGTACAGCAGCAGAGTCGACTCTGCTGATTAGGGCAGAAGCCGAAGCGACGTCGCTTCGGTAACCAGGCTCGCCCCCTCCCACGGCAGCAAGAACAACTTTCATGCCTGCAGGTACCTCTCAATCTGGACGACCCCTAAGCGGTACGGCAGCTGCTCATGAAAATATCTATGAAGTTCGTGCCTTTTTGGACGGGGCCCCAGCTCGAAGCGCCCAGGGGGCCCCCGCCCTGTAGGAATTATATTATTAATCTCAAAAGGTGCCGCGTATCTCATAATTTAATTCTGAGATGACGGCGTATGATAACTCGAACACCCAGCTTGCATTACCACGGGCATTCCGGCTTGCCACCAGCAGACCGACAAATTTGCTTTCATTTCTCTATGAAGTACGCAAGCTGCGCGTTTGTACAATTACTTTGGCCAATGCTCGGGGCTCGGTGTGTCGATTTCCTGCCTCCCGCGCGCCGACAAGCATAGCTCCCACAGCATCAGCACTGCTGCAACAAGCACAGCTCCCACCACGTTGACACTACCCATCAATTGTCACACGTGCCGCGCTAGCTACCGGCCTGTACGGATGCAGGGGGGGCCCGCCCTTTTTCCGGCTTCGAGGAAACCGACACAGACTTGTCCAGGTCAGGCATCCGTTAGCATTGGAATCCGCTGGATCAACGGTGGTGTCAACTCCGCTCCTGTTCGGCTTGCGGGTCACAGTAACCGGGTCCATCACTGTCCACCTCCATGCCGAGAGGTTCGCCCACACTCTTAGCGGACAAGGAATTTCGGATCCCGCTGTTTGTCGAAATCGACCCTAGAAAGTCCAGGCCACAATGCCGTGCCGCGCCTTAGCAAATTCGCTGCATCTGAAGCCGTGTATATTCCGTATGTATGGGCAATGAAGTGACAACCTACCTGCCTGCGGCTTTCCGTTCCCCGCTGTCGTACACGTCCGCACGCACTTGAGCCACAACTCGCTTCCCACCATGAGAATGGGAACCGGTGTCCCTTCTGGCCCTGCCCAGCGATGAATTATAATTTCCGCCATGCGGTCAGTATTATCAGAGATGTAAAAAGGGAGCTTAGCCTCTACACCCGGTGAGGTTCGAACTCACGCAGCTTTCGCTATGGGAAAGCTCAATCTCAAAGCTTGAGACCCACCCGTTAGACCACTCCGGCACAGGTGCAATCCGAGATCAACTCGGAAAGCCGAGGATGCCTGGAAAGGCACATCGCTTTTATATATTAAAATATTAATACACTTTACACGTGTACCTTCATCCGAACGTATACGTCCCCGGACCCATGGAAGGGGTGTATTGGGGCCGCATGATGCTTGAATTGTAGGACTCCCTCCACCATCTCAATCTTGCCCACACCCATCTCCGCCGCCAGCACCTTTGGGGGGGAAGACAGACAAACAGACAGAGATAGGGGGAGTAGAATAGCAATTTTAGAGACGCGGCGTGAAGTCAGTAGAAATACTTATCTGGCTAAACTCGACAGGGAGAACCCCCATTATTCTGGTGAGCATACTGGTCATCAACTGGTGTACAAACTACCTCGTGGGAGTACTGACCTCGGATGGTCAACAGGTGCGGTTGTGCAATACTGCAACAGCACGCTGTTCATGAGTTTGTATGGTTGGGCGCAAAGCTGAAACAAACTCCTCCAATTCTCCTCCACTTAACAAACTTCTATTTTACTGTTACATGAGGGTGCGCTGTTACCTCTTGATCAATATTAGCATCCAAACGCCCGATTGGTCCTATATAGGATCCTCGCACTCTGTGGTCCACTTACCCCTACGAACAAACTATCGGTACAAGAGAATACACGTAAACCACATACGAGCGGCGTCACTGTCTCTCTGCCCTAAGACATTGGCACCGCACCGCCGGCCCTGCTGAAAGATGTCATCAAACCACCTGCTTATGCTCCTGTTTACAACCCTATTGCCGAGCGCACAGAATGGCACTTACCAATCAATCAAACCCTTTTTCCCCCTGACTTGAAACCTAACTTTCTTTCAGTGCGATTACGAGGGCCACAAGCTTGCCATTGCCTCTTTTCAGTATATGCATAAAACCCCAAAACCCCAATCCAAATCCCTCCCTTCTTTATCCCGCGAGGCAGGCCGTGAAGCACGACCGTACACCCAGTACAACCACCAAACCAGCAAACAATGCCACTCGTGTCAAGCTGCCGTTTCCCCCCAGCAGTTCAGTCTATTGTCGCCCCAAGTTATTGTATATCGGCTGGCCGTTCCGCTCATGAAAATTCGATGACCGCGACCACCATCACCTCCATCCTACTTGTGCAATCCTAATCGCGTTTCAAGAAGAAGTTCCACACCCCGCGACCCCTGAGGAGGTACTACCCTGCTACGACTACTACGGCTTATAGCACGGTGCCTACCTGAGGAACCGCGCATTGCATTCTGGGCGCAGGAGTGAGGCATGCCAGCTGAGCCGACCCCGTCCGGTCGCGAACAGTGCAGTAGACGCGGCCGCGACTAGATTTTAGCGCCCATTCGTTGGGCCCAGTCCCTCGATGCACTAAAGGGCCCGGCACAATGAGCAAGGGCGCCCTGCGTGCATGCTGCGAAGGTGATCCCACCCAAACCTTGCGGCCAAGCGTCATGCAGCCGTCCATTGCTGCCGATCACACGGCGTACACGCCAAACGCCACCTCCAGTCGATCTTCGATCTTCGAACTTTGCACTTCGATCAGCCGCCCCGTCTCCGGCCCCCGCTGGGCAAAAGGCAAAAAATGGGCAACCGAAAGAATGACCTAAAGTACCAATCGAGGACCAGGCAGGCGCATTCAATTTGTGGGATCGGGTGCTGCATGTAAACACTTTCACCAGACGCTGTGAGATGCACCATAAGTAACAGAACACCAAGTAAGCAACTATGGACAACTACACCATCCATCCTTGGTCTGTTGCAGTCCTGTCAGTATTCCCCATTCTGCATGTGCAGCCTCATCCTACAGCAGAACCACCCATCCTAATCCTCCAGCTGTGTCCCCAATCCTCACCCTATGGCAGCGAGCCCATCCTAAACCTGCGACAGCCTGCAATCCCCATCCTGTCAGCCAGGGTTCCCATCCCCATCCTCACCCCGATAGCAATCCCCATCCTAAAAGTAGTGTAGCACGCGTAATCCCTAATCCTTGCCTTGGGCCCCACATCCCATCCTGACGTCGTCACCCTGTTCCCCATCCCGCCTGACCAGTACCTGCGCCCAATCCCCAATCTTTGCAACCCTCTGGCTGCTGCCAGAGCTCAAGCAACGCGTTGTCGCATTCCTTACCCCCAACGAAGCCTCCTGCAACGTGCGGCTGATTAACCGGATCACTTCATGACATATTCGAAACACAAGGGTGCAGCTGTCGCAGCCTGTTCTGCACCTTGTTTTTTTCCACCGCTTGGGTGCACGCGACGCAATCAAAGTATTTTCTTTGGCGCAACGGCAGAAACTGATTTGTCTCACGGCTAAGAATGGCAGCGTCGCCAACTAGAACACGGCGACTTCTATATGTTCAGAAACGAGGACATGAAGCAGCGGACGCGCGCAGCCTGGAATTTAGCTGCCGGTGGCAACCAGCTCGCGCTTTGCAAGAAACTCCTCTGTATCGGCCTCCCACCAAGCCACGATGTCTCAAGTCTTCAGCTCGCAATAGGCACGTTGACATCACCACCAAGTGGCTGCCGGCTTTCGCTGCGGGAACCCCGGGAGCCCCGTGGGCCCTTCAGCCTGTGCCGGCCTGCTGCCAGCAGTGCCTGCTGCCAATCAGTGATAAGAGCCGCTGAGGGATGCGACCTGTGCACACTTAATCATTTTTCGGAGAAGTTCATGTGTGGACATACTTTTCAGAATAAGATGGCCATTGTTAACGAGGCCGTGGGTAGCTCCACGCCCGACTGGAAGGCTAAGGTCGACAGGCTTCGGAGCCAGGAACTGGAGGTTGAGCAGCTGTTCTTCGTCGCAGTATCCATGATACGCTGTGGGCGCTGATAACCTGGACGCGATGTCAGGTTCGCTAATACTTCTGTCTCAACGATTGAGCATTTAATGGCAGCGCTTTGGGTCGCGCTTATTCTTCAGCAGCAGTGAAGGGCGACCTGCCTGCGCTGACGCTGCTGTTCTCCCACGGGTGGCCCATTAAAGCGGAAGCCGTGGAATGGGCGGCACGTTAAGAGCACCTGCACGTGCTGCAGTGGCCGGCGGGTCCTGAGGCAGGGTCGGTGGTGAAGCGGTTCTCAGGGAGGCCATGGGCCCGGACTTGGCGCAGATGGCCTCAGAGTCTGGGAGCTTGGAGGCGCTGCTGATTGGGCTGATTGCACGGGGTTGAACGTGGGAAGAAGAAAGAAGCTTGCCTGCAGCAGTACATGCCGGTAGCCAGCCGAATCTGGAGTGGCTGGTGTGCATAGATGTCCCATGCGGATGAATGAGAGGGCTCAGGGGCTCTGGGGGGAGGTATCGTGTATAGGGTGTAGAGCTCTTGTTGCGAGGATCGAGTCCATCGGCTGCGCTGAGCAGGGCTGGGAGAGTGGCACCGTATCTGCATTCACTGCTGCTAGGCCATACATGCATATTCGTACCCAGCAAAACCCGTACAAAAGCGCCACTCAGCTAAGCAGGATGATGAATACCTGGTGGAGCTGCCA